CTGGGGCTCGGTTGTCCTGGTTGGTGTGAGCACACAGAATCCCAAAAGATGCTCTTGTGCGACACGGGGGCCGCAGAAAAGAGAGTGGGAGGGAGATAAAAAAACCCGTTCTGTGGGGGGGGGGGGGGGGGTGTTGATAAAGACTTCTACCACATGGGCTTCTGAAAATACCCATTACCATGTCCTCATGTGCTCTCTTAAAATTTAGCACAGAAAATACACGGTGATTTGAGAATGGAACTCTTTGCTAAGGCCAGGAATATCTGTGGTCACTTCCTCCTCCTGTCCAAGGATGATTGCTTAATCAGCACTGACTATCAGCCTTTGTGCTACGTATACTTCCCATTCAAAGTCGTCGGCTCACAGATTGCCAGAAATACGTTTCATACAAACACTTTTACCAACAAATGTTAATTAATAGCCTGGCGATGGACTTGGATCCAGATATATGTTGGCTATATTGTCCAAGAACCATTGAATGAATGAATGAATGATTTATTTAATGTCCAAGACGTGGGAAGCGTTTGCACAATCTTCCGAGCCAGAGGCTCGTGTTAAAAACGCGCGACAGACTAAAAACTACAAAACAAGATAAAATGTGAATTATGCATATACAAATATTAGGAAAAACCTAAAAACATCGTAACCATTTAACTAAATTTACAAATCAAGTTATCAAACAAGCGATGCTACAGCATGCTGTTTGAGATAGTAAAGAAAGAAAAAAAAACACAGTCAATCTCAAGTAGTTTAAGGCCTGGGATTACCTGTGGAAAATGATTTATTGGCTATAACTTCGGCATAAATGATGGCGCTGAATCGCAATTCCGCACACATAAAGAAATCATCGTCCTTAACATTTTAAAGTATAAATATCGTGTTAATAAGTCACGTGATATGTCACGTGACCATTTTGCTAAAAATCGTAAATTATTGACCAGTTGGTGGCCGGTTTGAAAAACGAAATCGAGCAATGACATTTTTCTCATCCATATTAAATATTTCTAACACTTTACGCTTAGAATAACCGTCCATTGCACTTCAATAAAAAATTATGAGGGAAAACAACAGTTTAAATGCCCAAATTTAATCTTGAATTATTCAAAACTCTAACTCTAAACTTCGCGTACATTCATTCCAAACTTAGAAAGTTAGGTATGTTTATCCTTTTTCCGAAATGCCAATTTATTTATCCAAACAAAGTAAATTCGCCACCAATTCTCCAATTTCCTTAATTTTTTTAATTATAGTCACGTGACAAACATTAAGGCACAAGAAAACCTCAAGATTTACTTTTGTGGAAAAATTCGTTTTGTTCTAAGTCTCCTAGCGAGAGATATTGCCAATTATTAATATGTTCCGAACACACCTTTGATCCAGGCCTTAAACCCCTTGAGATGTTTAGGATAGTGGAATTTTACTCTAAATGAGGTAATATATATCTTAACAAGACAGCAGAATAATGCAAGCAGTACAATCCAACGTGTGATTCAAAGTTCTTGTACTCTAGTTTGGTGGTTTGTTTAGTGCGCTCCCAGTGTGCTCCAACAGAGCCTCTCAAACGTAATTTTGAAGGCATGCTGAATATCGGCCAAAAAAAACTGTACACATACACGCTGCCAAACAAAATTAACAAGGAAACATAAAACAAATTTACAAATTTACAAAGAACAAACCTGAGCTAGGAGCCACAAAACTATACAGTTTTTGGTGATAGGACACTTGTAGGAATAACACGATCGGCTTAGGCGATTTGGCGCTTAATCAGTGGAAGTGAAAATATGAAAAATCATGAAAAAGGTCCAATTTCACGTCAAATTTTGAAGGTTAAAATAGTTAAAAAGCATAGAACTAAATTTTATGCAAAAAATAAACCAAAATACTGATCCCTTCTTGCCAACATGGCCAAATGATTATCCATCCCAAGCGAGTGTGCTACATTAATAAACATTGTCAATAAAGCATGATTTTTATTCAACAGTTTTGATAAAAAATGCTTACCGGTATTTAAAATTTGGAAACTGGCCTAGATATCAAACTAGCTGTTCCTAGCTGTTCCTTCCAGTTCCTTTGTTTGATTTTTACTGATGAGCGGAGAAATCGATCAACGAACGTAGAACTTCTCTCAACAAGCGTCAACAAATGTGTCCACCATTGCTGCGGCTAAGGTGACGGCAGAGTCACTCGAACCGTGAAGTTACGAGTATAATTACAGAAAAAACTAAGTACCGCAGGAAGACCTTTTACAAAGTTATCATCATTACATGTATAACTAGTAATAGTTGACACTACAGCTGCCCCCGCTCTGTATATTGTCGGTCAATAGTATTCTCGCTCGTTTTGTAGCTCTTTGCAAGTATACCTATTCATGATGAAGATTTTCACACATATTCCGTACAATAGGTGAGATAAATACAGGAAATGCAAGCTTCCATGCACAGTTTCAGTTCGATTTACACAGCTTTGATCAAAACATTCTCAGTTTCGAGAATAGTTTATTCTACACCATAAGAAAATATTTAATGACAAGTTGAATTTTTCGCTATTTCTCTTTTACTTTTTACATTCAGTTCATTTTATTTGCTGGAAAGTAAGCCTTAGAAATTAAAAGGACGTTTGATCAATTCATGCTTGCGCATTCTAGTGTTATTTTAAATGTGGCTATATGGCCGGTAACCGGTCAAGGTTTTCAATTCACTAAATGCATGATATGAACATTAAAAAAATGCAATAAAAAGATGGGGTCACCGAGCTTGTTTACGCGTCAGCTAGCTCTTAAATTGGGATATTTTTACTGGTTGGGCGTTAAAAATTCGAATCCCCTTCTTACGGAATAAAGCCGTTGTTACTTGAAACACACAAAATTTTATCTTGAACATAAAGCTTCTTTTATTCAAATAAGCAGTATTACTTCATTTAATTCGTTTTTGGTTGCCTGTTGTGGGGATATTGCACTTTTTCGGACAGTTCCGTGGTTAGCTTGAAGTCCTCGCTTTGACCCAAATAGTCCAAATACGAAACTATTTTCCCCAAAAAAATAATGTCCTACTATCAAACTTTTTTTCTTCTTCAAATATGTTCTTTATTAGACTGTTCTTAGCAAATACCTGGGGAAAAAAATCGGGGGTCACCGTGCTTGTTTCTTCACAAACTGTTGTGAAAGGTGGACATGGCTTTGAGATCGCAGTCAGGATGGATAATTTGCACGGCGGGGACTGGGGCGAGATACAAAATAAAGCCCATCGTGTTCGAAGTATGCAGTCGAGATCAAGCTCGTTTTCGGAAAGGCAGCAGCAGCTATTAGTGAATTCGCGAAAAAAGTTCTTTCTTTTGTTTAGACTATTTTTCTAATGCAGACCTTTTGAAAAGCCAGACGATCAAACGTTATGTGCCTTTGTTTTGATTTTGCTTTTACCATATTTTATGATGAATCATATACTTCCACCCATATCTCGATAGATAAGATACTAAAACCAATCGCCACTTCGTAGTGCTTGTTTTCTTGTGCTTAGCGTCAGATACATTTGGTTGAATTAGGAATTTAGTTGTTAAATAAAGATGGGTGATTAAACTTTTCAAGCAAGAGGGAATCTTTGACAGAGTACCTAAATTGGCTTAACTCAGCAAGTTTATGTCAAGGAATTTAAGAACACGAAGGACAAGACTAGTGTAGGGAATAACTCATGACTTTAACAGCATGTGTTTGAAATTTAACTCTCGTGGTGAGGAAGCCGGATTCGATTTGTAGGTCATGGCACAAACTATATTACAGTTGTAGATGAAATATAAAATATGGATAAATTAGTGAGCAGTTAAGTACTTTCAGCAAAGTTTTGGAAAGGTAGAAGCTTAATTTTGATTGCAAGGTTAGAGACGCTAAAATCAAACTCTGACTGCACTTCTATGTTGCAATTGTGGTGGTCCATGATGTGTTTTTTGGTTTTGGTGTTGCTTAAGGTTGGGCCAATACCGATTCTAGAAATTACTTTTGTACATAACAAGTAATAATAGGCTCAGTTCTAATTTCTTCATGCTATTTTCACTTTATTTTCTACACTCCAAAGCTTTTCAAGTGATTACACATGTGTCCCAAAAGATTAGAACAATGAAGACAGCAGCTGGTTTTATGGAAGTTTCCAAATACAACAATACTCTTTTGCTGAAATGGTTGCAGCCTTTAACACAGGGTTGAATGCTCAATATAGAAATGGTTGATCAGCCAAGACACCCAAAAACAATTTTTACTCAGGACCCAACCAGCCTGACAAACTGCAAATATTTGGTCCCAATAGGACACGACCTTCGATTGACCCTAAGTAGTGGACCCTTTTTTAACCTCGATTTTGTAGATCTCTCTCTTCTCCACCCACTCCCATTCCTCATCAATCTAAAAGGGGAAGTGGAGAGGGAGGAGACATGCAGGCCCTTATTCCGTTAATTGATCAATTGTTCTGTGAGTTATGTTAGAGTGTGCTTCCACCAATCCAATTACCTAGAATATAATTTTGTTGGTTTTTTTTTTAGCTGTGCTGAAAGAATTTTTAGACAAACCAGGGAACCTTCACGAAGATCATTTAAGGGCTCTTGAGAAAGGTGAAGTAATTTTTTCATACTTACGATATTTTTAATTATTATCTTATTTTCTTCTTTTCCCGGTCCCAAATTTTTGACATAAAATAAGTAACTTTGAACGTATAACTCTCCTACTTATTTTCTGCCAATTTAGGGAATACATTCTGGATATCGCATTTATTTTGGGTTTGTAAAATGGCACAATAGACTGGAAATACAGGATTTGAGATATATTGGAGAAGCTCTAGCTTTATTCCTTATACATGTATGAAATTGTTGAGGGAGGAAACTCAAAGGGTGGGAACTTTTTTAAGAATTTTACAGTTTCCCACATTTCTCTCACTAAAACGCTGACAGCTGCAGTCCAGATGCACCTTTGACGATATATGACAGTGAACATGTAATTTGATGATTTGAGGAAGATGATTACATTGCTGAGACTCAGTTTGGCAAAACATTTGGTCTGATCATTTCCAAGGTTAAGGCCATTTGAAAGTTCAACTTTGTTTGAAGTATCACCTGATTTCAAAAGAAACACCAATTTCTTATGTGTTTGGCTAGGTACCAAAATGGCTTTTGCATTCTCTCTACACAGGATCCATCGCTTATGTAAAGGTTGTAGCTATGACGGGCAACGTGTACGGAGGAGGTCAAAAGCGTCCCTGGGGTAATAATCCAGAACTGGTGATCGTCCTGAAAAATCGCATGAAGTATCGAGCAGAATTGAAATATTACAAGTATCGAGGTATGCAATACAAAATAGAATTGAATGTCGACCGTGATTTTACACCGCCACTCATCTGCACTCAAAAAGACATCAAGAAAGTTTATCTCAAGGCTCGAGGTCCTGATGGATGGTACGTAGCATCGATTGACACCTACAGCGCGGGAGCGAATAAAATATACACTAAACTGACCACAGATCCAGGCTTCAGTATGTGGGTAGACACCAATGAAGAATCTCTTTACCCATACAATGCCAAAAAGCACCTCCTTACCAATGCTGTCGCAGGATCCTGTATCACATATATACGTGTACATGCAATGACGGGAGACAAGAGGGGAGCTAGTTTCTCTAAAAAGTACGGAAAGAATCACTTGATAGTTCTCTTTCTATCAAATAATGAAAAATGTCAGGCAGAACTTGAAGGACCTATGAAACAAGGCCAATCTTATGTGCAAGAGTTACACTTTCGAAGCCGGTTTAAAACTACACAGTGCGTGTCTCTATCTGACATTAAGGAAATTCACCTACAAACTCAATATGGAGGAAATGACGGTTGGTACATAGCATCCATTCGGACTTCTGCTAAGACTGGTGATAAGCAGTACGAGAATCTGACAAGTGATCCACACCTCAACAAGTGGCTTGATGCTAATGAAGAGTACAAATATCCTTACAATGCGAAAGACATCAAACTAACATGGGTAGTTCAAGAAACCCTTAATTGTGAATATGGCAATCCAACATGTGAATGCAGTGCAAATGCAGAGGTTTGCAGATTTAACCTCGAAATTGATGAAATTCGAACCTTCACCAGCTATCAAAAGTTATCGGTGGATGAACCTACAGGAATTGCTATGCGAGGATCCCAGGGAGTGATCTATTATTTCGGTGATGATGGGACACCTATGCCTCTGCAAACTAATAGACAATGTTCAACACAGGACAGCACCAAATGCACTAATCCCCAGTTTGTAGATGGTAAAACGTATCGTTTGGCGATAGCCGTCAATGGACAGATTCCTGGACCTACCTTGATAGTTCACGAAGGGCAAACTGTTGAAGTGCATGTTCACAACAATCTTACCACTGAGGGTATTTCAATTCACTGGCATGGGATGCACCAGAGAGGAACACCTTGGATGGATGGTGTAGGACAAGTGACCCAATGTCAGATAGGGCCTTCATCAAGCTTTTCATACGTGTACACTGCTCATCCTTCTGGGACGTTTTGGTACCATTCTCACAGTGGTGCTCAGAGGACAGATGGCTTCTTTGGTGCACTTATAGTTAAAGAGACACCCGAAAGAATGGACGCAATCAAAGCCGAACTCCAAGAGCATTGTGCATTTGAAGACCTTCCAGAAAAGCACACCTTAACGCTTCTAGACTGGCAACATGAGTCATCCTTGGACCTCTTCACACAGATCCACGCTAGCTTGGGCTTTTATCCAGACAAATCGCTTGGCGACGTGCCCACTCCAGATGATCAACGGTACGAATCCACACGTAGTTTTGAAGAAGGAGAGGTTGGGCCTGTCCCGTATTTTTCGGGAATTATAAATGGGAAAGGCAGGCACGTTGATGTTCCATACGTCAAGACAAGACTGAGTATATTTACTGTCGAGGCTGAAAAGACATATCGCTTTCGGCTAATTGGAGCCCAAGGGCTGTATGCTTACCGCTTCTCCATTGATGGCCATAAAATGACTGTGGTGGGCACTGACGGCTATTGGATTCAGCCTGTAGAAGACGTTGATTACATTATCATCCATTCCGGAGAGAGGTATGACTTTCTTCTTAGTACAAGAGATACATTTGGGGTGAAAGACTACTGGATGCGTGCCGAGACTCTGGAGATTGATAGAAGTGGGGCTGGGCCACCCTTCCGGTCACTAGGACACGTGGCAGAGGCTATTTTACACTACAAACAGAATGGGGACTCAGATGATCCGGATGATAATGTACCATCAAAAAAATACCAAGAAATCAAAGAAAAGTCTCCCCCTATACAGTGCACCAACAATGACCCATGCAAAGCAGTCAACTGCCCATTTGAGAACTTTCATCCATTATATTACATTACCTGTACTAATGTTCAAAGCCTTCGTTTACTTGAGCTAACTCCAGCTGATGAGCTTCCAAATGCAAACCCTAAAGCCCCAAGGGATTGCAAAGGTTGCAGACATTTCATCAACTTCAATTTTGAGGGTGACTCTCAAACTAGTGCAGTGAATGGGCGCAATTTCATTCTCCCCTCCTTTCCTCCCCAAACCCAAAATGAAGAGTTTCTAAAAAGGGACACAAAGTGTGACCTTAATGCTGACTGCAATCCCTCGACACCCGAGTGCTCATGTGTCCATGTCATAGACATTCCACATCAGGAAACTATTCAGATGGTGTTTTCGGCAATTGGTGCTTACCACAATGCTCATCCCATTCATCTCCACGGCCATACTTTTCATGTTGTTCATGTTGGATATCCAGAATATAACAAAACAAATGGTTTCATTACAAACCACAACAGCGATATATACTGCGATGACATCGACTGTAAAGAGGCTGAAAAGCCTAAAGAGGGCTGCAACGACAAGAGATGTACCAGACCAAGATGGAAAACAGAACCAATGCGTTTTTCTATCGATAGCCGTACGATCAGGAAGGACACAGTTATGCTCCCTGCTGGAGGGTACGTTGTCATCAATTTCTTATCTGATAATCCTGGCTACTGGTTTCTTCACTGCCACATAGAGGTGCATCAGCTCGAGGGAATGGCATTAATTGTCAATGAGACTTCTCCCGAGCCGCTCCAACTACCCAAAGAGATAGGCAAGTGTGGAGACTTTGAGATAAGTGTCAATAAGTTTCGCTCGTACAGTTCCAAGGTGATCAATTAACTAGAAGAGAAGATCTTTTCATTCTCAGCAACTATTGGTCTCAACAAAACTAGTAATTAGAAAACACTCTGAGACAAAGCTTGAACTAAAAGCAGTACTTCTCTAACTCTATTTAAGAAAAAAAAAACGACTAGCAAAAGCTGTTGAAGTGATAATGGCGCGAGCAACGAGAATTTACATTTTGATTACCTAAGTTAACGAGTGCTTTTCCCTTCTCTATCTGCCAGCGTTTTCTGTTGGTTTTTATTGAGTCACAAAATCACACGTGAAAACTTGAGGAAAATCGAAAAAACTGTAGCAACACTAGCCGGCGGGTCGTATTCACAGTGTTTCCCGTTCTCCCAAACTTCCACTTAGGTTTTTATTTAACAATTAGATCATGTGCTCGAGATTTCCATGACGTGATACATGTAGTTGATGAGGCGGAAGGTCTCATCAACAACTAAACATCTAGCTGTTTACGCACGCTCATCAGCTTAATGAAAAATTTTGAGGCTTCAAAGTCACATAATAACCAATTTCCTTTCTTCAGCCTTTTTAAAAACTGAAATACAGTAGAACCCCGGTAACTCGAACTCTGAAGGGAAACAAAAAACTGTTCGAATTATCGGGGTTGATTGAAATATTCAATTTTCCCGGTTAATAATTAATAGTTTACATTATGCAATTGTACTCAGCAACTGAAGAACTCTCAAGCAAACAAAAAATCGAGAATATACAGTATGTATTGGTACAGACATTCAAACGGATACATCTTTACTGTACTGTAGCACTGCTTTTTTCTTTGTGACAGCAAAGACACCGCATCCGGTATGACTCTTATGATCGGTAAATAACTGTCAAATACGTGATCTGTTCGTTGCACTAATTATAAAATCAAATTGCTTCAGTCTTTGTTCTAGTGTTAGAATTCGATCACACGATAAGAAAAGCTAATGAGATAGCTCAATGGGCATCCGTGGCGAGTAATAAGAACCAAAAATTCGAGTTATCAGGGTAAATCTTGATCAAGGAAACGAAATTTAGTTTGAGTTAGCGAAGTTTTCGAGTTATCCGAGTTCGAGTTAACAGAGTAAAGATGACTGAGAAGTTGGGTCAAATCCAAGGGAATTGAGACTCAGCTCGAGTAGGCGGGGGAGTTCGAGTTATCCGAGTTCGAGTTACTGGGGTTCTACTGTATCCAGTAGTGTTTCCAAATGTCCAAATGTTCGGAAAGACGAGAAAACTTCCCCATTATGTGGATGATTCCAGCATTGTACAGGGGCACCCAACGAGAATATAGTTCAAAACCACTTAAACATAGCATTGTTAAACGTATTTTAGTATTTAAACGGTAGATATAGGCATATTTTTATCCCCTAAAAACTTTTAATCTGTTCGGATTTCCTAGCTGAAAGTCTAGTGATCCGAAAATTATAGGGATCAAAACTTACCTTTTCGAAAATTTCAGCCAGAAAAAAGACTCCCGAAAATTCTAGGTGACCTTTTTAGGGTAAAAATCCGTTAAAAATAGGCAATTATACCATTTTTTAGATGTTCGAAAATCCTAGGAGAGGCAGGCAAGCAAGAAATTTTACAACAAATGTTTCGAAAATTCTAGATCTCAAATCGTCTTCCGAACAAATATTCTTCCGAAAATTGTCGCTGGGTGCCCCTAATTGTACACTAATGGTTGATAGTATACGATAGGTATTTGCATTAGTACGCTATTAGAATTGTACTAAAACTGAAGAGAAAAAGGGTATGTTTTTATGCTTTTTAAATGTCAAGTAAAGGCATAAACTAAATGATGCTATGAAACATTCTCAGGAGTTTCGCGCCATTTTTGTCTTCTAAGGAAGGGAGCAATGCAGAGTAGAGACATGAACTTTAATTAATATCCCTTCCAAGTGTTACGGCAAATGCTACAAAACGGCATTTCTTTTCAGTAATGTTATCGAGCAGAGTTTGTGTTGTAGAGTATTCTTGGTGTGACACCTGAAGGCAGAATGTTCGAGGGCTTTCATTTATTAGGGCATGCAGGGTGGAGGGAGGGATACAAGGTCCGTTGGTAAGTCACGCTTCCAAATAGATCAAGCCCCTGTTTATGGGGAAATATTACATTATTCCCATCTTCACTGCGACACACAGATATCTTCCCCTTCCTGGAGCATTCCTCTTAAGGCTTCTCTTATTATCTGATAACCGCCTCCGGCAAAACAATGACCCCCTCCAGTGCTCTAATCTATGAAGTCCCCTTATGATCGAAAGATAAATGTTTTAGAACTGTTCATTTTTATTAGAATGGAAACGTCAAGTAGTTAGAACCATCGTCTTGGACATATAGAGGCATTGACAGCTGGCATTTTATAAGAATTCGATCTTCTTCAAAACCCCATTGACATCTGGTACGTACTGTTTAGTATGCAGTATCTTAGATCATATAATAAGCTCAATTATGCACGCATTTTGATTGGTTCTCACTTATGCTCCATTAGAGGACAGACGCATAGATGGTATATTTTGTTTCTTTATTAAATAAAACAAATAGATCACAGAAGACGTCAAAATGTGGTAAGAACATCAGTGACACACTCAACTGAGTATCGTGAAAGCACTGAAAACCAAAGTAAGCTTTCTGGTCAGTCACAAATTACGCAGACAAACTGTGAACCAATCAAAACTCTAAGAAAATATATGTAACCGACGCTAAGCGCGGGAAAACGTGTACGAACAAGTCACGATTGTTTTGGTTTTACTTCTGACTGAATGACAAGGAGGCAAAAGGTTCTTTAACCTATCGCTTAACGAAGTAATGCAAAACCGAAGTAAACGCGAATTACTTTGGACACTCGAGTAAAAACCGCTCTACCTCGTAAAACCACTATCTTAGACATAATAATGTCGCAGTAGATTTTTGTTAGATTTAGAATGTAATGCTTTAGACTCGGTGTTTAGTAAGAAGTATTTTCATTGATAAGAATACTCATTTTTGATTGACCTTGCTTATAACATTTTGTTGTAGTGCTTCCGTTTGGAAGGTCATACACTTAATATGCTAGGTACTTTTTATTATAAATACTACTTAAAGCCTTTATCCGTATTGGTATACTAATCAACTTTTTGTCTTTTATTACTCATATTAATGATGTATACATTAGGTCATTCCATAGCTTAATTTAGGTATGGCTACTTTTAAAAAAGTAGCCTTTTCTGAAGTGTATATATTTACTACTATTCTAAACACTATTAAATCGGTTAAAAAACATCGATCAGTTAGAAACGATAGACTTGGACACAAAATGGCATTTAATATTCAGTATTTACTATAGGTATTTGATGACAGTGGTTGCTAGAATTCATTATATTCATTAATTTCTTTTTTGATAATCTTCCATGTTATATATAAACGTTTTGACTGGAGGATAATGTGTGATCAATTATTAAAATAGGTACATGTATAAAGCTGTTGAAAGTTGTTACTTTAAGTTGTTCCTTTAAGTTGTTGCTTGATAGATTGATCAAGACCGTTATCATGTTTCATCTGTTTAGAGCGATGCATGGAAGAAAAGTTAACTTAATCCCCCACCCCCTCCCTTTCAGGTGAAATTTGAAGGTATTACTTTAGGTGTTTTCCACACCAATCTCACTTACATCGTTCATACTCGTCCCGACCCGTCACCCGACCCGTCATACGACTCGCAGATTATGCGCAATGTGCGGTACTTGCACAGACAAAATGGTTGTCGTTCTTGATGAACACTTCTAGTTCCAGTGTTAGACCCTGTCTCGTCTCGTGGTAATAAACTCAACAAGTCAACCGAGCTCAAAGCCTACAATTCAGCGACGTTTAATTTATACATTTAAAAATTTTGTGCTTTATGAGAGTACAAAGCACACTGACGACACTTTTTCGCTTTGGAAATAAAGTTTGTTTTGAAAATAAAAAGCGAATGCGTGGGGAAATTATCGGATTCTTAATCATAAAACAAATAAAAAAGCCTCAACCGTGCTCTGTTCTGTTACAAAGCTCGCAGGAAGCTACGAGAGCACTCAAGAAGTCTTGAATTCCCTCGCCTGCGGCTCGTGTTTCCCGACTTCTCTCGTGCTCTCGTCGCTTCCTGCGTGCATTATAACAGAACAGAGCACAGTTGAGGCTTTTTTATTTGTTAATTAACATCTACAACAATAAAGATATCAAGGATAATAAATAGTGCGAGACCTATATACATGATGCAGACAAACTATTCCTAAGATCAGGATTGGCTTTTTACAAAATATAGCTTATAATTGCTTGTAGAAGGGAGTATAGGGGCACAAGTTTTACAGTTTAATGCTGCGATGTTAAAGCAAGTCTTTCAACTTCACCCCCAAAATCGCTTCATAATTCTGGGAGATCACGACAAAATAATACACTTGCATGTAGTAACAACCGGGAAATCATGCTGCATGTACGATTATGGATAAAAAAAAATATGTAGACAGAAAGTTCTAAAAGTTATAGATTCACCAGCCGCAATTAGCTATGTAACAAGGCCAAAAAATTTCTTTTGTAAGTAATGCTTCGTCTAATCTAGATACCCGAGGGTGTTCAGACAAAAAAAAATTAAACATTTTAGTCGGCCCTATAGCGACCGGAGTCATTTCCTGTTGTGCGGTGAATTTCAATCGAGCTCCATACGAAAATGGGCGGCAAACTAGACCTGTCTGAGATGACCAAATTTTATAAATCGCCGAAACCAGGTGAAAAAAAAAACCCTCCTGAAGAAACAAGCAATCGAACCAGAGAAGCAAGGTTGACCCAGGAAATACATTTAAAAACAATAACACGTTTCTGATGTTATTCCAGAATGTTTTGCGTCTTCATACGCCGTCTTTTGATGTCTGCAGATATAAACTGAATTAAACAACATGGTCACATGGAGAAGATGGCTAACGAATAATCTGACTCTGAATGCTATTTCGGTGTTTTATTGATTTTCAATTTTCGTGATTTTGTGGTTGTGGGCAGCCTTTAATGT